AACTACCCGAGGATGCTTCCATATAAATATGACCAATCATGGCTTTACTGTTTTTAAGAAGAAGATTTTAGAGATATTTTCCTATATATTTCTATGTAAAATTTTGATCCCTCATTGTGGCCCCACCCTACCCCCGGGGCTATGATTTGAACAAATTTGAATCTTCACTACCTGAGGATGCTTCCATAAAAATATGACCAATCATGGCTTTGCTGTTCTTAAGAAGAAGATTTTTAGAGATATTTTCCTATATATATCTATGTAAAACTTTGATCCCCCATTGTGGCCCCACCCTACCTTCGGGGGTCATGATTTGAAGAAACTTGAATCTAAACTGCCTGAGGATGCTTCCATAAAAATATGACCAATCATGGCTTTACTGTTCTTAAGAAGAAGATTTTTAAAGGTATTTTCCTATATATTTCTATGTAAAGCTTGGATCCCCCATTGTGGCCCCACCCTACCCCCCGGGGGTCACGATTTGAACAAACATGAATCTACACTACCTGAGGATGTTTCCACATAAGATTTATCTTTCCTGGCCCACTGGTTCTTGAGAAGAAGATTTTAAATGATGCCATTATTTTTTCACTAATTCCTAATTATCTCCCTTTGAAAGAGGGCGTGGCCCTTCATTTGAATAAACTTGAATCCCCTTTCCCCAAGGATGCATTGTGGCAAGTTTGGTTGAATTTGACCCAGTGGTTGTTGAGAAGAAGATGAAAATGTGAAAAGTTTACAACAACAACAACGACAACGACGACAGACAACGGACAAATTTTGATCAGAAAAGCTCACTTGAGCCTATGGCTCAGGTGAGCTAAAAATGCTCATGTAACCAAACCTTAATTTCCCTATTTCAATATAAAAAAAACTGATTTGAATATTTTTAACTAAGGAGGACATTATTTTTTTTCATTTATTGTAAACCATTAATTCTGCTACACTTCCCCCTTTTCATCTTCAGAAAAGCTTCCTTTATATGTGATATCAATTATTATTATTCGGGTGAACTTTTACTTTTTACCAGTTCATATTAAGTCACAACTACCTGTATTTGTGATTAGGGGTATATATAATTTAAAACACAATAGAACTTGAAAGCCGATTTGGACTTTCATATACAATTAACTTTTAAGTTGAATAGAAAGTTTTTCTCCTTTTTTTCTCAATGAGAATTAGAATCTCTATGTCCTCTTTTATATTATAAATAAGGTAATTTCTATTCTTTTTTAGAGTATAAAGTGTGAGTTTCCATTACGTTAACTCTTGATTTTTCCTCCGCTTTATCAAGAATGTTACAAAGAAAGTACTACCAGGAGATACTTATATAAATTTAATAACCATCCCGACACGTACCGAAAAGTTTCTTCAATATTGCTGTTAGAATCCATGTTAAAAATTTCATTTTCACAATCGCTTAGTTATGTCGTCTCACAACGTCTCAGCTATGATATCACAATCTACGACGAAAAGACAGGTGCAAGAAGATGTTATGGACAGAAAAAACCTATCCTTTGATGTTTGATATAGAATCTATTTCACTAGTAAGACAAAATTTTATTGATACTTTCAACCGTACTTTGTACTCGTAAAAAAAGGATGATGTAATGTAAGTATAAATTTCTATAATTTACGCAGGAGGATAAAACGTACGCTCAGCTAGGACCTCGAGTCACCCGCAAATACTTCGTCATTTTGCGTAGTAATAAAATATTGTATGAACTCTTCAGACTGCAGATCACGTTTTATTTTAATTAAATTTTATTTAACAGAGGTTTAAAATCTTACTCTTCGAATGCAATCATATCAATAACTCTACATCTTTCTACTTTCAAATAGATTAGCACAGGTGTGAAAGTAATGATTTTACCATTAAACACAAGATGACAAGTTGTTAATGATAAGGCCTATAAGAAGCTGTGTCGGAACATACCCTCAACCTCAATTATTTTGCCAGTATATTCTCAACTATATAAAACAATGAAAATTCCTTTCTTGTGTCCCTTCAATCATTTTTCAAGTATCCTAGCCTGGCATTACACAATTTCGTAGATCTGATTCATAAATAAAATTGATTAATTAACAATTTTTCCATTAGAATTTAATGTTAATAAGGTTACTATCTTAACAGATGTTTAACTGCTTAATTTTTTCAAACAATATTAATATCAGCCGCTGGAGCAGCCGATCATTTGTAATTTTGTTAGAAAATGCACATGGGAAAATGAGCCGGTTTTGTTTTTATTTTTTTTCTTTATTCGTTCAATATCATCAGTCATTTAAGAGACTGGACCATGCTAAACTAAAAGACATCTCAAAAACAAAGGCAACACGTATGAAAATAAGCATTGAAAATTTTAAAAAAAAAATTATCTCACTCTATGGTTTCTTTTTTCCTTACATAAACACAGATTACAACTTTTATTCTTTTATGTCATATCACAGATAATGAAATGTGAAGATAACGAACAGTTATCAATTTCATATTCCATAAATAAACAATACAAATTTGAAACAGAGCAAACAAGGACCTCCTAAAACCATCAGAGGCGGGACCAGGCACCAAGTCACCCGCCAACCGGCCATACCCGCCGTGTGCTCAATTATACAACTGATGTTCAACTACAAACGTATGAAAAAGGTTAAGATACCAAACAGGGATCGATCTCAAAAATCTAATTAACAAGGGAAATTTGGGAACAGGGAATAAAAAACAGATATCTAAATTCCAGAGATGGGATCAAATGCATATAAGTAAACACACGTTTGCATTCGGAATGATATACTAGTAATAATGTATCATATCAATATGGAGACCAGATGTCATCTAATATGGTATTTTACCAAGGAGACAAAAGTATCCAAAACAGTTACCAATGGACACCATTTTGGAGACCAGATAAGATAACCACCGGTTTCTGATACAACTTTTTTACCTCATTTGGGAGATCAAAGGACACATAAAGTTGAATATAAATACGGAGACGAGAGTTTACTCTAAATTGTACATCTTTACTGATACCTGATTTCAAATTAAGTTGCATACGGAGACTAAATGTCACCTAATATTGTGCATCGTTGGGGGCACCAGAGGTGACCTTACCTTGTACATTATTATGAAAACCAGAGCTCTCCTTATATTGTACAGTCCCTAACAAAAAATACTATAGCTGACTATAGTTTACTATAGAAAACTATAGTGATAACTTTGACACTATGAAAACTTTAATTTACTATAGTGATAACTTTGACGCTTTGATTCACTATGGTGATTACTTTGACACTTTGATTCACTAAAGTGATAACTATAAAAACTTTGATTTACTATAGTGTTCACTATGAAAACTTTGATTAACTATGGTGAAAACTTTGATTTACTAAAGTGATAACTTTGAAAACGTTGATTTACTATAGTGATTACTATGACACTATAGTGATCACTTTGAACACTTTGATTTACTATAGTGATCACTTTGACACTATAGTGATCACTTTGAAAACTTCGATTTACTATAGTGATCACTTTGAAAACTTTGATTTACTATAGTGATCACTTTGACACTATAGTGATCACTTTGAAAACTTCGATTTACTATAGTGATCACTTTGAAAAAAAATAAGAACACCAGGGGTTTGCTAGTGTGTAACTTTAATATTGTCGCGTACGTGGTTTATCCACAGGGAGGCCACGGATCACCTAACGTACTTCATTACCAAAGAACTTATATATCTTAAAATATAATAGTCAATGTTGCTTGCTTTACCACCTATTGTATCTTTCCTAACATCAAATGATAATTCTTGAAAGAAATGCATTTTCTGTTTATTGTATTACATTTGTAAAGGCATCCCAGTAGAACGATTTGTTCAAATTTCACTTTGCGGTTTCAATGCACTATATTTTGTAGGGGAGTAAACAGGTTTGATAGCAGAATGAGCAGGTGACCTTAAGTCCTAGATGAGCGTATATTTTTTATATCCTTCTGCATAATTTACGGGAAAGTGTTTGTGGATCAAACGGTAATGAGAAATGTTAAATGTTGCTAGTCTATTTTATGGAGAACGGTGCAAATCTTATCATTCATGCATACCATACAAACATATAAGTTGACATCTATCTGTTTGATAAGAATCGTCGAAATCATTAGTCTGGTCATTTTTTGTGTTACAGATAGTGTCTACCCAATTTTCGAAATAAAGAAAGGTTTTCTTACTCTTACAGTATAATTTTAATTATTGTGTGAATTAACCTTCATAAAAAGCTATGCCCCCCCCCCCCCCCCCCCCATATAACTCCTTTTAATCTAAACTAGGTGTGACAGAAAAACACCATTGTTGTCAGTAGTGTAATAGACATGTCATATAAGCATAAATACATACCTATGTAATGAAACTTCAAATTAGTACAAAACATGACCTAGGGTAAGCCCCAAGAGAAGGCCAAAATTTTACTTGGTAAAATATATAAGGGAGTTTATATTTAATATTCCTCAAGAACAACATGGCTACTCAAGTCATATTTATATACCATCATCATTATCACCATATAGTGAAGCTTCAAAGTAATAAATTATAAGGTCTTTAATGCTCTAATAACAGAAAATAATTTGCAAATGGGAAAAAGTTGAAGTTTCATTTTAATTTCTTATTCTCAGTATTTGCTTGGAAATGTAATTAAAATGTGAACTTTTTTTTGAGTGCAACTAGAACAAGAATGGGAGGGTTATTTCCTCGATACCGCAATAAAATATTGTCGAAAAGAATAAAATACGCGTAAAGGCTTTGTACTTGGGAGTATATTTTGCATATATACACAATAAAATATGCTGCATTTCTTTAGGATTATATTGAAATAAAACATAATATGTTTTCCACTCTAGTTCATATCATTACATGATTTTATTCGAAATAATAAAATTGTCAAGAAATGGATCTTCTGTTCATCATGAAATTTATTTTAAAACATAGTGTTTGTTATGAAATTGTTAAAACACAACATGAAAGAAATAATATGGTTCTTTTTAGTGAATGTGGCTTTCAATAAACCAGCTTGGCAATCAAAACCGTACATTTCAAACAAGACATTCCACGCAAACAATGCCGTAGATGGACTGAAATCTGACCTCAGTGCTTGGGGTGGACAGTGTTGTGTATCTGCTGACCGTCAGAGAACTGCCACCTGGTGGGTAAACCTGACATCAATCTACAGCATTCATGATATCAGGATTTATTACAGAACAGATAATAGTGTGTGGAGTAAGTTCATTTTCGACAAAATTATGTAAAAATGTTTCTAAATTATCAATTATAATTAAGATTTATTTCTTTTTTTATGCCCCCGGATAGAAAGATTCCGGGGGTATATTGTTTTTGTCCTTCTGTCTGTTCGTCTGTTTGTCTGTCTGTCTGTTGTCAACATTAACCTTGCCCATAACTTTTGGTTGGTTGGAGCTATGACTTTCATATTTCACGTGTGTATTTCTTGTGACAAGACCTTTCTTAGGGTACCATCATATTTGACCTTTTGACCTTGACCTTGGAGTTTGACCCACTTTTTGAAAACTTTAACCTTGGCAATAATTTTTGAACGGTTGGAGCTACGGCTTTCATACTTCACATATGTAATCCTTGTGACAAGACCTTCCTTTGCATACCAACCACTTTGACCTTTTGACCTTGACCTAGAACTTTGACCTAATGTTGAAAAACATTAACTTTGGCCATAACTTTTGGATGGTTGGTGCTAGGGCTTTCATACTTCATATATGTAATCCTTGTGACAAGACCTTCCTTTGGATACCGACCACTTTGACCTTTTGACCTTGACAAAGGAGTTTGACCTACTTTTGAAAAAACTTTAACTTTGGTCATAACTTTTGAATGGTTGCAGCTAGGGCTTGACGTTTCACTTACTTTTAAAAAACGTTAACCTTCGCCATAACTTTTGAACAGTTGCAGTTAGGGCTTTCAAATTTCACAGGTATATTACACGAGACAAGACCTTTCTTTGGGTACCAACATTTTTTATCTTTTGGCCTGGATTTTGACTTGCATTTGAGAAACTTTAACATATGCCATAAGCTGCCATACGGAGGCATCAGTGTTTCACTAACACATCTTGTTTTCTTCTAATTTTTCTTTTTTTATTATTATTGCTAACTCAGAAATTACATGTAAAACAAAAAGTTCTCTTGGGAAAAAAATGATTATTGGGTTTCAAATTGTTTGATAACTAAAACCATTATGTAGGCCTTTCAGCTTATTTTTCAAGTTGCACCTGCGGTAAAAAAAAATGATATATAGAACTTCTTAGAATATTCTAGACCTTGAATTAAAGCATTAAGAAATTACATCATCATTAATTGATTTGTATGATACTCTGTTTTAAGGAAAGGTACCTCAAGTCTGAAAAAAAAAATCAACAAATAGCTGATGTACGAGTTATCGTGTACAGGAATAGAAAATAGGCTGCTTAAATCCTGTTATTGGTGCATACATAAAAAGGGTTCTTGTATTGTTGTGTATACAAAAGGTTTGAACAAAACAATGTGATTGTCTTCACTCTACCTGGAATGCATGTTACAGTCGCCAGCGTGGCGCAGTGGTTAGTGCGTTTGCTGTAGAGTCGCGGAGTAAGGAGTTAATCCTTACGTAGCCGGTACAAATCCTCTACAGACCGGTTCTTCGGATGAAACCGTATTAACCGAGGTCATGTGTCGCAGAAAAGATCCCTCATTGCTCAATGGCACTGAGTGCCGAGTATAGGTCTAAATTTGCAGCCTTCTACCGGCAAGTGGTGGCTTATCCATATGAGTGAGAGGTTCTCGAATGGGACGTTAAACAACAAATGAACAAAAAACCTGGAATAACAAGATCAAAGTGAATGTGGATTGATTTCATTCATATTCAGAACTTTCTTTGACAGTTGTTCTGATGAAGAAGAATATATACAGTCATATCTTTGTGTTGTGCTTCCTCTATAATGATATAGCTTTCTATAAATAAATACTATGAATAATTATACGAAGCAAGAAGATACAAATACAAGAATATACAAATTTAATCTGGTTAAAATTAAGATTGGTAGTATATATTTCACTTTAGATTTTTAATGAAAATTTTGCTCATAAAATTCTATATAATGTCAGTAAGTATGCGACAAATTCATGTAACATTTGTGCTGAATGTTTAAACCACAAGTCATCATTGACAGTGAAGAAGTACGAAGGCATTGCTAGAAATTGACGAACTTCAAAAATGTAGTCAACTCGCACCTGCTGTAAACAAGTTCCGGTAATGAGTTATCGTTTTTTACAACGAACCCTCGTGGTTGTTGAAAGGCCTGAATTATGTATCCAAATTAATCATCAATTTTCTTCATATGAGACGATTTTAAAATATTTATTCGGCTGATTCTTAAAGCATAGGTATGCTTACAAGACGCATGGAATAAAAATGTTTTAATGTTTAATATTGTAAGGCTATTGAAATACATTTTTTTTTCAAAATCAAAAAGAAATTCAAAGAGTAAAGAAACCCCGAAAAAAATCTCAATCAGATGTTTTGAAATTCCAGATGCATCGAATGGCTACACAGAAAGATTTCTGGGGTTTTACGTTTTTGTATCGAATACAACAAGCCCACGAGATGGTTACTTATGTTTTCAAGATACAATTTATAACAAATCTACAATTCCTGCTGTCGCCAATATAACCTGCACTGTACATGGTCAATACGTCATCTACTATAATGAAAGACTTCCAAATGTTACGTATACAGATGAATTTTCCGACTACGCACATAATGAACTATGTGAGGTGGAGGTTTATGGTATGAAGGCCTTAAATCTTTTTTTAATTTTTTTTCTTAAGTTAAGAAGTCTTATTTTTTTCTGTTTACAAAGATTTATTGCATTTTTATTTTGAGAGAGGGGGTATGTTTCCACGAAATGCACAATGTGATTTTTTTTTTACCGGTAAATCTTGTCTTTTTTAGTTTGGAATATTCTAAAATATGTTAAATTCTCAGAATGATTTTAAAAGCATGGCAGATAAAATTAATCAAATATTTAATTGAAAGATTTTTTTTTATTTCTTTTTCTTCTTCTTTAAAAGTGTATGAGTATTTTTGTCGCTTTACAGTGGTTTACAATATCACTATTATAGGGGTTCCATTGTCATCTCAGTGACTAAAATCAAAGATATACTTAAAACGCATTCATCTACAATATTTGCTCCCAATCATTATTTGTTCATACATATGCTCCATGTAATATCATCTATATATCCTGAAAATAAAACGCATACATTGAGAAGAAATTTGTGTTATAAATATAAAAAATGGTTATTTTGAATAGATAAATGATTACATCGTAGATCTAAATAATAAAGCTACCGTCAGAAAATCACATTCCATATTTCATATATATTACTCTTCTATTAGTTTACGCATGAAATACGTCCATATACCAAATACGTGTTTTCTTTAAAAATGAAGATCTTCCAGCTAAGTTCAGACTGCCCAAAGCTTCGAAATTTTAAAATGCATTTGATATATATCCCGAGTATAAAAAAAAATCATAAATTGATTTTGTCGTAAAAAAGTCATATATAGAATACTTCCAAATAATTAAATGGAAGAAAAGAAATATTCCTTAAAATAAGCTGATGTTCTTACACATACATTGTATAACTATATATGAAGTATGAATATTGAAGAGGTACATCGATGTATTTTTACCATACATTAATTATCGGTTTCTAGGAAAGGAATTTATGTGTATTTTGTTTTCTTTATCACTCAAAATTATCATTTTTCATTGTTTAAAGGTTGCACAACTGGATACTACGGACGTATCTGCTCTTCCCCCTGTCCTGACAACTGTCGTTATTGTCACATAGAGACTGGAGAGTGTTCTTGGTGTGAACCAGGGTATCAGGGGTTCCAATGTGAACAAAGTAATATATCGATAAAAAATTGCTATGTTTGTTGGAGTGTAAGGGCAACAAATGTTTATATTTTATCTAAGTGCCTTTTTTAGGGTTTTACATTTTATAATTTACAAATCGATTTACAATTTACATTTATATTTGTGTACTAAAATTTCATTTGTTTCCTAGTCATGCAAATGCTTTGGGGTGGCTAAATAACACATTTTAAATATATACATATTCCTTCGAGTATTCTTTTAACAATGTTTGCTGTAACCATGTTTGTTTGATGTATTCACTAGCATGTCAGGGTGGCAGATACGGACAGGATTGTGGACAGTTATGTGGAGCTTGTCTCTATAATAAACAATGTCATCACATCAACGGTTCATGTCTTCGAGGCTGTGATGCTGGATATAAAGGGAATCTTTGTAACATAGGTTATGTTTCTTTTTATCAGGAAACATTTAAACATCCAATTTTAAATTTTAGTCGGCATTTTTTGTGTATTATTGACCACAGTAAATTATATGAGCAGAAAAACATTATGCAAGATAATCATATTTAAAAATCACATTATTTCTAATTTCATAATAACAGAGTGTTCAGATGGAAAGTTTGGAAATAACTGTGAACAGGATTGCAATCACAACTGTGGGGTACGAAATAGATGTAACCGAACGACTGGGGAATGCGTGGGCGGATGTCAAATTGGATTTGAGGGACTTCAATGCCAAAATGGTATATTATATTTTATAACTTACCTGTTTAAAATGTATGTAAAATAGATAATTATATATACCAAATTCCTTTATCCATTTGTCAATCCTTATTAACTTTTCCTTTCATAAATTATTCATTTACTTTATGTTTCAAATATTATAGAAAAATTAATTGACACATATGTAAATGTTGGGATGCACTGGAAACTTTCTTTGCGAATGATGAGGTGCAGGCCAGGACGCCAAGATCCGTTAATTTTAAAGAAATTTACAGAAGACTTCTTCATTTCTTATTTTTTTTATAATTTGTTTGCCCTTCTTCACATTCCTGGGTGAATCCTGTATATAAATAAGTATAGAGACCATTATCAGATATCTAATTTTATAATGAAGTATGATTTAAGAATTTGCGCTTCATATGATTTCTCATTTTTTCTTCAATGCTGATGTACAGCAAAATTCTTGCGATTGAATTTAATTTCATCAACTTAAACTTATAACTTTATTTAACTTCACCTTGATACTGTATACAGGGAAATGTTCGCCCCCGTTTTATTTTCGCCCCTTTCGCCCTTGACACAAGTGGGCGAATTTAAGACGGGGCGAATTCAAAGAAAAAAGTATAATTTCCTAAACGAAACTGTGACTGGGCGAAATTAAAACGGGGCAAAATTGTTTGCAAGTGTGATAGGGCGAAAATAACACGGGGCGAAAATAACCCTGTATACAGTAGTTCATTCTCAAGTCATTTGTATAGATTTCGCTCTATTGAATGTGCATTTTTATTAAAATATTGAGATAACAAACATTGATTATGTAACTTCCACATTTTGAAAGGAGATAAGCGAACAAGGCATGCAAAACGCCTCTAACTTCATATGTTTAAAAATCATATATTTATGAATTTAGTACTAAGAATAAAGTTCCTATTATTGAAGTTGATGAAATCATGACAAACAAAACTTTTCTTTAAAAAATCTTGTCGGCAGAAATCGTTCTATTATTATAAAGAAAATAATTGGCATTCTTGGGGCTCAAACATAAGCAATAAAAATCATTTTTCTTCGATACCAACACGTTTACACCTCCGCTGCGTACATAGCTTATGACAAACTATGACATTTAAATGCTATTTGTGATATAACCTTGACTAAATGGACTTCACATATTTCTCGTTATGAAAGTTATGAATATTTGGTCATGAAGGTGTATTTTTAAGGTATAGTGAGTGTTTGCTCCATGCTTTTATTGGCTATAAAATGTATAAATATACATGTAGGCAAAGATTGAAAATAAAATTTCAAAAAAAAGGAGTGAGGACCCACTCATTAAAAAAATGTTTTATTGTATGGAGAAATGATCGTTTCTCCATTCTTTGATGTAAGCATGCTTGTTCATAGACGAGTAATTTAATCTTTGTGAGATTTTTTTTTTACATTGCAGAGATTGTACGTATAGTATACGTTATGTTAGATGAAATATCATAGAGAATTTTGTTATCTTTGCGATTTGATTTTTTACTTTCTCACTTCATTTTGCTCGCCTTGTTTGCCCATCTTTTTAGTTCAAAAATCCTTAGAACATCCATATTTGTATTCAAATCCGTTTTAAAATAAAACCGCTTTAATTTTAAAAAGGAGTGAACAGCTTGTATCAAAAGAAAATATCCAGGTTTTACGATAACTTAACGTTTTTAGCAAAATTTTTAGATTGAAGAAAATAATGAATTCAGTTTTAGCCCAGCGAAGTCGAAAATGATGCTTAAATTACAGCAAACATCTACATCTTTTAGTACCACCAATGTTATTGATATGATTAAATAAAATGGAAGATTTTTGATTTTTTCAAACAAATGCATACCGCTTTTTTAAGTCATAAGAGGTATGAATGCAGGAGTGGATTTTAACAATCGAATTAAAATTAGATCTTCTGAATCCGCTACCGCTTCTCAAACATCTAACAACATCCCATTAAGGGTCACGTCAGAGCGACCTTTCGATTATGAATAAACATAAAAATTTTGGCCAATCAGATTCAACCTTCTGTATACGATTCTTTAATTAGTTTCACGGCTACATCTTTAAAACATTATTGATGCTCGGTAGATTGTCTTACGTTGAATTAAAGTAATTTTGGAATAAATTGAACGTATAGTCTGCCAATCTGGCATTCTTACCTACATGTAAATAATGCAGACGAAAATGCACAAACTACATGTATACGTCTATATATCCCGCACGTCACATTCATATTTAGCACGGTCTTTACCATGCATATTTTGTTTACTACGAAACCCCTCGGGCGTTTAGGTTTGGCAGTAAAAAAAGAAACGCATCCGAACTATAAGCCAAGATTTCAGAGACGGCGATTCCATTGGGTAATCGAAAGGTCACTCTAACGTGACCCCTAATGGGATATATTGTTAGATGTTTGAGAAGCGGTAGCGGATTCGGAACATCTAATTTTAATTAGATTGGGATTTTAATTTTTTTTTTAGTAACAATATCGATTGATAGTTAAAATATGATATCTGATTCAAATACTCCTCACATATATTTTATTTCAAAACAGTGATTTGTTTTTTTAATAGCTTACTTTGAAAAATAATGCTTGATAATATAAACTTTTTACGATCTTTATTCGACAACATTAAAATTACACCATCATTCAGTTCAAACAAGAGGCCTATGGACAACATTGCTCACCTGATCACATTAGCTAAGAAACCACAAATCGGTTCAGTATTGAAAAGTTTACAGGGGGGGGGGGGGGGGGCTTAAATTTTAAACTACCTGATGATGCTTCCATACCAATATAACAAATACTTTTGTTGTTCTTTCGTATTTATATATAGATTTTTCCCTACATATTCCTTTGTAAAAACTTATCCCCCCCATTATTTGAACACACTTGAATTTTACACTACCTGATGATGCTTCTATATAAATATGACTAATCATGCCTTGTATGTTCTTGAGAAGAAGATTTTCCCCCTATATATAACTATGTAAAACTTTGATCCCCCATGGTGGCCCCACCCTACCAGCCGGGGATCCCTATTTTAACAAACTTGAATCTACACTACCTGAGGATACTTCCATTTCAAAAAGACTTATCATGGTTTTGCTATTTTTGAGAAGATTTTATTTTTTTCCCTACATATTCTTATGTAAAACTTTGATCCCCAATTGTGGCCCACTCTACCATAGGTCATGATTTGAACAAATTTGAATCTACACTACCTGACAATGCTTCAATATCAATAAGACTGAACATGGCTTTGCTGTTCTTAAGATCTTCCAAGTTTTTTCCACTATATATTCTTATGAAAAACTTTTATCCGTCATTGTTACCCCTCCCTACCCCCGGGGGTCATGATTTGAACAAATTTGAATCTACACTACGTGAGATTGCTTCGATATCAATATGAGTCAACTAGCCTTTGTTGTTCTTGAGAAGAAGATTTTTAAAGATGTTTTCCTATGTATTCTTAAATAAAACTTTGATCCCCCATTTTTCCCCATCCCCCCCCCGGGGGGGGGGGGGGGTCATAATTTCAACAAACTTTAATCTTCGCTTCCAAAGAATGCTTCGATATCAATATAACAATGCATGGATTTGCTTTCCTTGGGAAGAAGATTTTTTTCCTATATATTCTTATGAAAATCTTTGATCCCCCATTACGACCCCTCTCTACCCTCAAGGATCATCATTTGAATAAACCTTTTCTACACTACTGAGGATGCTTCCATATAAATACGACTAATCATAGCTTTGCTGTTCATAAGAAGATTGATTGATTGATTGATTGATTGATTGATTGTATGTTGTTTTACGTCCCATTCGAGAATTTTTCACTCATATAGAGACGTCACCATATACCGGCGAAGGGCTTCAAATTTTGACCTTTACTCGGCACTCAGGGCCATTGAGCAGTGAGGGATCTTTATCGTGCCAACGCCTGCCTTGACACGGGGCCTCGGTTTTTAAGGTCTCATCAGAAGGACCCGCAATTTTCACTTCAAAGTGCCGAGCGCATGGCGAAGGAACAGTTGCTACCCATTTTTTATCGACTTAGGTCAGTCGCGGCCGAGATTCGAACTCACGACCTCCGGATCACGAAGCGAGCGCTCTACCGACTGAGCTACCGTGAACGGTCATAAGAAGAAGATCTTTAAAAGATATTTTCCTAAATAGTTTTGTGTAGATTCTTGATCCAACATTGTGGTCCAACCCTACATTAGGGAGTCATGATTTGAACAGACCTGAATCTACACTACCTGAGGCTGCTTTCATATCAATATGACTAAACAGGTCGTTGTTGTTCTTGAGAAGAAGATTTTTAAAATTTTTTTTTTCCTTTAAATTCATATGTATAACTTTTATCCCCCATTGTGACTCTACCCTAATGCCAGGAGTCATGATTTGAATAAATTTTAATCTAAACTATGTTAAAAAGGTTCCCGATGAGTTTCATTTTTTCTGGCCCAGTGGTTCTTGAGAAGAAGATTTTTAAAACGTGACTCTAAATTTTCACTATTTCTTAATTATCTCCCCTTTAATGAAAGTTTGCCCCTCATTTGAACAAACTTGAATCCCCTTCACTCAATGAAGCTTTTTGACAAGTTTGGTTGAACTTTGCGCAGTGGTTCTGGAGAAGAAGTCGAAAATGCTAAAAAGTTTACAGTCGGACGGACAGACAGACAGACAGAAGGAAGCTAGACAGACGGACAAGAGACAAAATGTGATCAGAAAAGCTCACATGAGCTTTCAGCTCAAAAGGGGTAAAAATGATATTAATGTGATTTCAGAATGCTCCAATTATAAATATGGTGTAAACTGCAGCATGTCTTGTGGTCACTGTCGGTATCCTTCCTCGTGTCACCATATTAACGGCTCTTGTTTAACTGGGTGTAAACAAGGTTACCAAGGGACATACTGTCGACACGGTAAGGTATACCACAATCTTTTAAGAGATGATGCTATGTTTTCCCTTCAAAGTTGGAAAAATTTTCAATGCAGATAATTAAGTTGAAAATCAACTCCAGAAGAAATAACTAATGAAAAAAAAAATAAAAAAATTTATATTATTAATATCTCTAAATATTAGTGTGTCTGATGATTTTCAGAATGTGGGCCATATACCTATGGGTACGATTGCATGCAAAACTGCAGTGAAACTTGTGCTAATAATACGTGTAACTCCTTCTCTGGGAAATGTACAATATATGGGGTTAGTATATTGAGTTATGCATGTAGTTTGCATAACATAAGATAAATTATCAGCATTACGTTATTTTGATATTAAGTTTTATCAATATATCGCAATATGACTATTGTGTATATTACGCACATAAAAGGCCTTCACTCAGAATAATGACGAAGACGATCAGGCTGCAGTCATTGGGGGAATTACAGGAGCTTTGGTTGCCGGCCTTGTAATTGTGATCGTTGTGCTGATGTTGAGGTAAACTTTTCTTCCAATTTCTTTTACGAAGCACTGCTTTGAAGTTGTATCATTATGGATTTAAGTCTTAGACTATTGAGTACTTATTACTTTTTCATCTGTTTTACAAATTATTAGGTGCCATCTACTCACAGACATAGGGAACAAGCAAAAGTCTACAAGGGCAGTAAAGTGTGAGATATTTATTTTGTAAGATTCCTCATCATATGTGATACTTAATTATTGTAATCTAATATAAAGTAAAAACAATTTGGTGCATTGTGATTCTAGATACTAATAGAGATGGGGAGGAAAACGTTATTGGCATTGTTTCCAAAACCTCATCGTCCTCAAAATGCCTGAAAAATAAAACTTCCATGACAAACAAAGATGAAAAATCCCTGATGCGTAAAAAAGTGGATAACGTGGTGGACATTGACGAGGATGAAATAATACACGCAGAAAACCCGTATGGTGAAATGTACATGAATAATACAACCACACCGGATATTCCAATGAGTCGGTTAGAGCGTATCATTTCTGAGAAAACCAAAGATGATAATGACGGATTCCAGAAAGAGTATGCGGTAAATTGATATGATATGATTTGTCTGTTATTAAACTGATCACATGAGAATATGGTGAAAAAATATCAAAGATCTTCCTTGAATATTTTCTTTTAATTACAATGTCCAGAAAAGGTTAAACGGCTAGGTCATTCTCAGGCATTGTTTAAGGTAAATAGTTTATGGCTTATTTACACATTTTGCAATAGTGATAAGATAAAACAGTATTCATTTAACATTTAGCTCAAGACACAAAATTATAATGTACCAGGGAATTAAAAAAATGCACTATACATTTTACAAATAAAATGCCACTTGCTTTATTTCAGACATTGCCTTATGGCGAAAATCATAAATGTGACATTGGAAAGAGGAGTAATAATATTCCTAAAAACAGATTTAAGACAACGTTCCCTTGTACGTCTATATATAAGTTTAATTTTCACTTAATGCCAAGGATATTTGAAAGAACAATTCTGAGGATGGTTAGACAACACATCAACCGTTTTAAGAGGATAAGGTTTTGATATCATTGAAAAGAGGAGGAACTTATGCACACATTGTCAGGTCATTGTATTTTTTTGACATAATAACTCCGTACATGACTTCAGTATTATATATGCTTAGCATGACCTCACGAAAACGGAGTAAGGCTAAAAAGAACTTCTTCGAAAAGACTTTTTCAAAAAAAAAAATCACATAGAGCTTTCTAGATAAAGTCTTTATGAAAGTTTCTCTCAATCAGCAAAAACACATCATTGCATTTAACTTTGACTCAAAAAAAAAAAAAAAAGAAAGAAAAATCATCGTCTTATTACTATGTATAGTCTTATCTCTATTCCATAATATAATTATTCAAGAACATATCGAGTTTCAAATTATTATATCTACACGTGAGCCATTTTGGGTTTTATGCAAAATGTGGGACAGCAGTAACAAAACCTCTCCTGGCCTTTAATCGTTTCCGCAAGTTAGTTAAAACACCTGACGAATTTATGTCAGTAAATTCTGCAATATAGTTCACTATTCTACTGTCATTTACAATTTACAACTTTGTCATTTTTTCGCAGCAAATGTTTTTTGCCCAATATTTGGCACGAGTTTCCATAAATCATATTACATGTATGTTTGACACGCATTTTGACGGCCCTCAAATTGCACAAGCCCCTCATTATAACTTCAAATGATAGATATAAGTCTATGTAAATATTATACCAGATGGCAATTGTGTCAATTAGCGTGTATTAAGATAAACAAATGTTGACTTTTAAATCTAAAACACTAAAATTCGTCCTATCTTTTCAATGGTCATATCTTAACAGAGAGGATTCTGACGTCATTGTTTGAGTGGTTATTATCAAGAAGCAATTTGACGTCATAATATATATGTGCATATCTCCCGCTCGTTCCAATGAAACTACCGTTAAGGGGTTGATATTAAACAGACCTTTCTCAGATTTTTTTTTTTCAAATGTCCTTCGTATCTTAATATATATAACTTGAAATATTACGTTATGTACATGTTTCCCGAAATAAATTTAACAAATGTGGTAACTAATTTATTATTATTAAAAATAGATGACCATTCAAGGGTCATATTAAAGACTGAGGCGGGATCAGACTACATAAACGCAAACTATATTGAAGTAAGATTTTCCTTAGTGCACTATCAATATCTACAATTTATGAATTTATCTGCAGAAAATTGTTCAGATTTTTCAATTCTAAAATCATATTTTCTCTTTGTAAAATAAATAAGCACTTTCTAAATATTAACTCTTGCACGAATTTTTCAAAGAAGTGAATTTAAATTTATCGAAATAGAAGCATAGTTCTATTATAATTATAAGTATAATACTTTTGTTTTGTATTAACATTTTAGGGCGCTGCAAGAGATAATGAATACATCGCTTCACAAGGTTCTTTCATTTCTTATGTAAATGTCTTACTTAAGATTTTATTAAAAAGTATTTGTTTCGTATAACACTAGGTAACTTGCTATGTATCAGAAAACGAATTTCAATTGTCACTAAGCACAAATTCATGCAACCTGAAATTTGCTGTATCAAGTAAATCCGGGATAAAGGTGATTTAGATTTCTCCCAGCATATGTTCTTTAATATAACCTGCATTAAGCGACATGCTGTCTAAACGATTATCAACAGTATTGTCCCTTTATTTCTGAAGGGCAACTGTTCGTGCATTGTGTACATATTTTCCTATGTATAAATTAGAAAAATAAGTGATACTATTGTTAAATTTGCTTAGACTAGATGCAGATGAGTCCGTTCATTACAAAAGGTGATTGAAGTAGAAATTTGAGTTAAAACATAGTTTTCACTATTTTTTTCACAGCATTGGTTTTTGTAATAGTTATAAGGGTTGCATGAACATTTGCAATATGTATATATTGTGAGCCTTGAAACGATGCTCTGAATAACTTAATGTCTTCTTTATTTCATTTTAAGGACCAAAACAAAACACTGTCGGTGATTTTTGGACGATGGTTTGGCAAGAAAATGTCTCTGTTATTGTGATGCTGACGAATCTAAAGGAAAGAAATAAGGTGAAATATTGTAAAATTTATAATAAACATTAGTGGTTTAGATATTGGATAAGAAAAAATGGTGACAGCTTGACGTATAGAGTATTATTAAGTGAACAAATTATTGTTGGTACTCCTGAAGTTATTGGCTCTATTTTTTCGAAATCGCAGCAAATAATTTCCTGAAATGATAATGAACATGGAGAATGATAGCTTAAACTTTTTTGTCTTGATACGAAAAATAATCTACGAATTTATTACAAAAGAAGCAGTCTATTACATCATTAAATACATTTTTTTTTTAATTCTTTCTAAAAGCTAGTTGTGGAAAAATGTACAAATCTATATATATATATATATATATATATATATATATATATATATATATATATATATATATATATATATATATATATATATATATATATATATATTAGGGATGTCAACGAATAGTCGACAATTCGACTATCAGTCGAATGGACCGACGATCGAATAAGAAAACGACATTCGAATATTATTTTAACTAAATAAAAGCAATAAATGAGTGATAGATGAAATGGAATTCTCATCAAAAAAATGAGAAACAGTCTTTTCTCATAGACAGTCGATAATTTTCCTCAACAAAAAACGGTAGATTTTCCATGTACGTATAGAAAGTACAGCAATTATAAATGCTTCACTACTGCGAGAATTTATTGTCAGTAACTGCCTGTGTTGTTTTTGTAATAAATTACCAACCAATATAATGGGCTTTGTTTGTAAAATTATTCATTGGACAATTATATTATGTTATTTTAAGTTTGCTCAAATGCAAGGAATAAACCTGTTTTGATACATCGATAATTATTAAAACAATGCGCTTACATTTTAAACTATTTGAGGGCATTTTGATAGCCCCCCCCCCCCTTTCCATTATATTTCATAATAAGCTTTAAAAAGTATCGGCTTGCAATTTTTTAATGCTTACTAAATAAAAAATGACTGCATGTACAGGCCGATTTATGAATTCTATTTACGGGGAAATAATAAATTTTGGAGAATTAGGTTTCTAAATTTATTTCATAGAATCATGCTATCCACGTGTTACGTTGCATTAATTTTGATGTTACTTTTTAAATAGATTTAAGTAAAAAGGTTTCTGAGTATATACCAATGAAGTATGAAATAAAATTTTATTTTCAGAAAATGTTCCGAATATTCGACTATCGTTCGAATAATGCAATCGAATGATCGACTTAGGAAAATAAATATTTTGACATCCCTAATATATATATATATATATATATATATATATATATATATATATATATATATATATATATATATATATATATATATATATATATATATATATATATATATTTGCCAAAACTCCATGAAAATAGGGATCCGTCAAAAAGCTTCATATTTTCTTTCTAATATATTTGAATTTTATCAATAAAAAATCTGCATAAAGATGTTTATGTATTACCAAAATAGTAGGGTTTTATTGTAATATTAAAAAAAAAAACATAAATAAGGGAAATATTTTAGCTGTTATGCAAGTGTTGACGTCAAGACATTTGTTTTCTTGTTTTCTGTTTAACTTCATTTTGATTTGAATTCAGATATATTTAAACGCTATACAACAAAATAATATGGTAATTTATTATATACAAAACTATACTTAAAATCTTCCATGTCTAATTAAAAACCATATAAAAAAACACAACTAAATAGCAATGTAGAGAATAATTGATTCCGCTACATGGGATGGATGAAAAGTATTCCCCAAAATGAGTAGAATAGAAAAGAAATAATTGCTTTTACAACCATCTAAAGAATGTTTTTTATGGTACTATGTTTTTTTTTTTTTTTTTTTGTTTTGTTTTTTTTTTTTTTTTTTTGGCATCGAAGAAGTTGGAAAGGTCATTTATTTACCCTCAAAAGAAAAACTTTCACTTCTTTCCTTGAGAGATGTTTTTTTTTTTTTTCTCTCTTGAGCAAAATCAATAAATCATTCCTCATTTAGTTCCATATTTGTGGTCGTCTTTGAAACATCATAAAGATGATACTATACAGTAGAATAGAATATAACATTGTAACATCATCTTATTACACATTGTCCAAATTTGTGTTCATCAAGATCAAGTGTACTCAGTACTGGCCAGATGGAAACACACACATAAACTATGGAACTGTGTCAGTAAAAATGATCGAAGAAAAAGAGTATGTATTCTACATTGTACGAAAAATGACTGTAATCCATACGGAGGTGTGTATTTTTACAAAACTAATAGAATCTGTATTCCCTTATCTCGTCACATTGATTTGAAACTTGAAAACATTTTCAACAATTCGAAAAACGTTAAGTATATACTTGAAACCAGGTGGATTACCTTAAAATTGTTTTATCACATCAACATTATATAATAATGTAAATTATACCCTTTTACAGACAAAGAAATCACGTGTGGTGACCCAGTACCATTATACAGCTTGGCCTGATCATGGCACACCTGATCCTCTCTGTCTTGTTGTCTTCCTTGGTCACGTGACAAGAACAGGGACCAATCAGAAAGACTCTCCTACTGTTGTGCATTGCAGGTGCCTTCTACTTAAGATTTGTTTTTAAATGAGATTTTGGCTTTAAAAACGGAATTGCAATGAGAAATTTCATAAATACTTTTGGTATTATACAATTTAATGATCAAAGATATACATAGGGAAATGTGATCAATGTATTACTAGACTCACAGAAATCTAAGATAACATTTATGAATGAATGTTTTGCCTGATTTTCAGTGCTGGAATAGGTAGAACGGGGACATACATAGCAATAGACGTTCTCAACCACATAGGAAGAAAGACAGGGAAAGTAAACGTAGCAGAATATGTCAAGAAGATGAGAAAAAACAGGATGAATATGGTCCAAACATATGTACGCCATCATTTGTGAAATACTTATAATCAGCTCTCCAAAAATATTAGTTTTATTAAAAAACAATTCTTAAAAAGAGCTGGTAAATTAAGGAATGCTGAAATAACAATCCTTGTTTACAGTCATTAAATAACAATGTATTTAAAATAACATACTGAAATAAGAGTCTATAGCAACACATCATATAGTTTTGTAAAATTATAATACCGAAAGAACTTTCGGTGTGTTAAATAATACTTTTTAATAAATAATAGTTTATGTCAACTAAATAAAAATCACAATCTATGTCGAAAAACAATATTAATAAAACATATTTGTCAACCCTCCTAAACGCCAATCTATATAAAATAACAATACTGAAAAAGGCCTCAATTAACCCTCTTATGATAACAGACTATGTTAGCCCTCGCTAAGGACAAAATTTAAAACATACCCTCCTAAAATACCAATCTAGCTGTTTGCAAAATGAACCTCAAAAACAGTCTATTCGTTTCCATACTTCTGTGATAAAGAATTTGAATGAAAAACAGTACTAAAATAGATAATATTTGTCAGAGAATTAAGTAATTAAGTATTTAATCACCATTTGATACTTGTTAAAAAATCTTTTAAAATACAAAAGTTAAAGATTTATTAAAGACTTCTTTAATGCAATTGGCTAAGGAATGACATCAAGATCTTAAAAAAGGATAATTTGAATTACTAGAAATGCTTATAAATCTCGAAACGTAAACAAGAAATAAAATTATTTGTTGATTTATTTGTATTTCTTTGTTGATTTAATTCGATATAAACTCAAAGATTAACTTGTTTTTTTTTTCTTCATTTTTTTTTTTTTAATTTCATATTTTATTGCCTCGTATGAAATACTTTGTATTCTAACAGGACAATAATGATATTTCAGGAGCAGTACATCACTATTTTCCTTGCGTTAAACGAAATATACAAATCTCCTGTGAATGTAAACACAATTGAAGAGTTTACTGAAAAGGCGCAATCTATCACAATGGACAAACCAGCCAATCAGAGCGAACTACATAAAGAATTCCAGGTACCGAATAAGGAAAGAATGAAAGAATTACAATCGGCAACGAAAAGGAGTGTCTGTCTGAATGGATATCATGTTAAAATGAGTTATTGACTGGGTGAATGGTTAGAGATAAAAGTTATTTGAGAGATGAGTTGGGGGAAAAGGATAGAGAGACCAAGTTAATTTAGTGAAAGAGTGAACCAGAGAACAAGTGAGTTATTGAGTGAGTGCTTGCAAGCGTGCATGCGTGGATGAGTGAGTGAGTGATCCTTCAAGCTAGAGAGACGCTAAGCGAGGAATATTGGAAGTGAATGAGTGAATGAAAAAGGTGAATATAACGAACAGTGATTACCAATCATGGAAGCCTAGTGGTAGTGCGTTTGCTTCGTGATTGGAAAGCCCGGTTTCGATTCTCGTTCGCCGCCTTAGTGAGCGAATCAATGAGTGAGTGTGATCGAGTGAGTGATTGAGGAAAGATTGCAGACTTTCATCCAGGCAGAGAGAGAATGAGAGTATTGAACAAGTCGTCAAATTCAATACGTATATGAAGTGTTGTAAAATGGGCAGTCTTTAGGTCAGTAGAGAGACTGAATGAGTAAATGAGCGTCTGAAAACTTTGAGTTTTTAAGTGTTTTGATGAATGTACATGATATTGATGTAACCTAAAACTGGGGTACTTTGATAAAACTACATGCAATCGGGGCATTTTTATTTTTATTTTTTCTGAAGAGCTACTCAGAAACCTTCTTGGCTTAATATCTATTTATATAGCTTTTGATGAAAGTACGACCAACATACACCGACTCTGATTACAAAATAGCTAAAGAAGGCTGTGGTGGTGAACACACGAATAGTATACTACCTCGTAAGTATTCAGTCTAGTAATCTAAAAGGGAATGACAGGATTTTTTTTTTAATCGTTCGATCATTTGATGATTATTATTTTTCTTGTGTTTTTTTTTTTTTTTTAGATTCTATTTTCTATTTTATTTCCCAGACATATCATATAACATTTGAATTCCCTATGTAAATCTTTATGGCAGCTGCCAGGGATGGGGCCTTTACTAAGCTCCATCAAACAAAATAACATAAATTATTCCTACATCATCTCGCAGGACGATGACATGATAATACTTGAAGATGAAAACTAAGTAAATTAAATGATAATCATACCATTGTATATAGATGTAGTATATAATTGTATATAATAGTATGTAACACATACATGGATAATTATTATATATGCATTATGAGATTAATCTTACAATCAAAAGAAAAGAAGAGTATAAATGTAGTTAATAGTGTATGTATATACATTCTCATTGCTGTCAAAAGAGGAGATCAACACACAGTTACTCTTTCTTTGGGTTCTTCTTAAGCAGCACTATTAGGGTGACAGAACCCTTTTAGCAGAGGGATTTTTTTTTTCTTTTCCTTTTTTTTCTTATAAAAATAAAAATCTTTTCTTATAAATAGATAACATGATCATTTTTTATTTTATAGATTGTTGTATACATTCTATAACAAATTACAGTAATTTTATAAACCTTTCAATAATATCTACATAATTCAAAACTTTATTACTTTACACCAAAAAGCTGTTGATTTATTTTTATATAATGTGCAATATTATATTCAGTTTCGTCAAAATTTTCCATTCTACAAAACATTCAAATGTTCAATGTTAGTCAAGAAACGTGGAAATCCATTTATCATCAAAAGATAAAACTGGCACTGGATAAAAGCATTGCGAAATTCAATTACATATTAATGCACAATTTACGTTGTTGTAATATATATATATATATATATATATATATATATATATATATATATATATATATATATATATATATATATATATATATATATATATATATATATATATATATATATATATGGTTAAATGGAAAAGGGAAACCACAGAAAAGTTTTCTATTTGCTGTGTTGTTGAAGACATTTAATACATCTTGTTTTTTTAATGTATAAATGTAAATATATTACGGACAAAGCTTCCACTCCGTTTAAAGTTAACATTTAATGGGAAGACATTGTTATTGGTCTTTATTTTGAACGTAACGAGAAAAAATACTTTTTGAACGACTTTATTCCCTTAATTTCAATAAAAATATATAAATGCAAAATATTTTGTAAGTTTTTTTTTCTAGATACTGTCAATTTCTTAGTAGTTAGATAGTAATTATGCAAATATGATTTGCTGATATTAGTTCACATGCGAAAGGTTGTATCGGTTCAGAATTGAGGAAAAATAAAGAAGAAATTAATCAATCCATACAATAAATACAAATAGTCATATATCTTGAAAAAAAAAGAGAATTGAACATTACATTGCGATGTTCGTGCATTTCACGTACATTGAATTCAAAGTTGTTTTTTTTTCTTCTAAAAATAAACGTTCTCATTTCTCTAACGACAATATGAAATCATTATCAATTTATTGCTTCATAAAATATATTTCTTTATTTCTCTAAATAGTGGACAAATACAGTGTCCATCTCTCATCTGTTGTGTCAAAACGAGGAAACTTCATCAACGCAATATGTGTACCAGTAAGGAAACACGTAATGTAAAACTGATGATCAAAGAATTTTACCGAAAAAATAATACAAAACATATATGTGTGAATTTCATGTAGATTTCATTACTTACTTTAAAAATTTGCCATTTATAACATATCATTGATGTATTTTGAAATAAAAAACCCTAGAGTTCTTCTGCTCTCACAATATGAAGGGCTAAAAATGGGTATTCTACTGCTTTACTTTTTGCAATCATAGTCATATACAAACAGAAGAGGGTTCATAGTGACGCAGTATCCATCGACAGAGGACGCTGCAGACTTCCTACGCTTGCTCAATGATGATGAATCTGACACTGTAATTTGTATGGAACCACTCAATGAGATTGATTCGGTATGTAGTTGAATATCCAAAATGTTTTAGGTACTTACAAAGAGAAAAATATGGTATTGTAACATTTGTTCATTCCCTCATGTATCCAAAATGTTTTAGGTACTTACAAAGAGAAAAATATGGTATTGTAACATTTGTTCATTCCCTCATGTATCCAAATCTGAATTAAGATAATACAGAATTTTGCTAGGGAATTGTAATTTGTTGCATGAATAAATAATTTGAAGGATCAGAGTAAAATTTTGAATATAGACGTAGTAATTACTATTGAGTTTTGAGAGCCCTAAATCCATTCTAGAGTACGGCATGGTTACCAAGTCCATCTTCTTCCAAGGTAGTAACTCCTTTTACTGTTCACTATCAATCAAAGACCGGAACTTACGTCATAAGTACTATTATTCACGTCATACAGAATAATGTAAGTAAACTTAATTAATGATGATTCATATGTATATATAATTGCTGTGTTATATACACATCCTTATCATGCTTAATTCGGAACACAATATCATTTATTTTTAATCAAATCGAATTTAACTGCTTCTCAAATACTACATTTGACCCTGTTCTGCACATATGGATCAATTGTTTAAAAGTTTTGTAATTTATTTATACAACACGATAAACATGAGATATGTTTCGTTAACATGTACATTCCTTTTTTGCTTTTTTGTGTTTACTCAATTTAGAGTGAGGAGGAAGCTCAGCCAGTTACGATAATAGAACCGAAAGTCGCCATCAAAACATCCGGAAACCCTCTAGACACATCCCAGCTTAGAGGCCTCGTATGTGTTGCCCTGAGTTCTGAGAATGAGAAACCCATTACAGTTGTCAGCAAGTAATTAATCCATAAATGCTAATATGCTCAAGAAATTACTTGATTATTTTCTTTTTGGCAGCAAAAAATTTGTCATCAGCTTGTCTGCAGAATGCAGATTGAAATTCTGCACTATTATATAGTGCTCGTACATTTCTTTGAATACTCTCAAATAGTTAACTGTTTTGCTAGGATTTGGATGTCAGTTAGAATCCATCAGTATTGTGTTTTGTTTTGTTTTTGTTTTTTTTTTGTTTTGTTTTGTTTTTTTTTTTTTTTTGACTGTTTACTGTAAACAATTTTCGCATGTTGTTAAAACAACCAAATGTCACAAACCTCGCAACGATCTGTTAGTAAAAGACATCTCAAATAGTGTATATGTTTTTAACCTTGACAAAAATATACTTTACTTGTCGAAGTATACACGACAATGAGCAAAATTTGTAGTTGACCTTGGTATTTTAAAACGCTCATAACTTGGGCTTTTGAGTTTTTTCTTTCATTTCACTTTTTTTACCAAAAGGAGACACTCTGTGCATTATCAACATTCATAAAATTTGTCTGACTTTATCGATGCAAAGACAAGATCGGATAAGAATTGACAAGCAAAACTTTAAAAGGTGGTAAATGTGGATGTGACGGAGCTGAAGCATGTATAAAAGAAAATTAAATGATTTTATGATTTTTTTTTACCCTTATCATGTTTAATACATCAATAAGATCAAACCTACATGATGGATAAACAGGAACGTGGAGACGATAGATAAGTCTTGAGACTGGTACCCCCCCCCCCCCCTTGGGATTTGTACAGGTACTTAATTTAGATGTAAAGTTTGTTGTTTTTTTTAAATAATTTTATACCCTGTCCACTCCCCAGAAAAAGCACAGCCCTCTCCGTCTTAGAAAGTTAAAGGGAATAATGTGTAGGAAGAAAATTAGACAGTGAAAGTGGCAACTTGTTTAATTCCCTCCAAGGTTTTTTTTTTTTTTTTTTTTTTTTTTTTTTTCAGGTTCGAGCGAGTTATTTATCTTTTTGGCTTGCCAAAAATGTTCTGAGTTTGATAATGATCTGCGTTGGTGTGAACCCTTCTTGAATATACTGGACCCGCGAATGATATAATTTAAGTTTGGAGGAGAAAATCGTTCACTATCCTTGTTTCCAATTCTGTGAAAAAGCCTCTATTGTCAGAAACACATTTATTTTTATTTGCATAATTTTTTTGATAACAGAGATGGTGCATCCCTGTGTGGTGTTTTCTGTGCCATCCATAACGTGTTACAACAGATTAACATGGATGACAGGGTCGATGTCTTCACTGTCGTCAGACAGCTTCAAGTTCGAAGACCAGAGTTGTGCGCTAATCTTGTAAGTAGCAGTCGCAACAAAAGTATTTGCGGAATATACCTAAATAACTTTCACAATATGTCCCTTGCAGAAGAAAAGTCTAAATAGTCGAATATAATGTGTATGGGGATGCATGCCAATCCGCATATTGGACATCCTTTCTTTCCTGAGTTGTAAGAGTTAGTTCACCTAATAATTAGATTCCTTCAGGTTTATTCGGGCTCTAGTCATCAAACGAGATTGTTTATACTCTTGTATCATCAACGCGTTAGTTGCCTGATTCCCCCTAACAAAATGTTCGTACGAAGAATTTTTTTTTTTTTCAATTCAACAGTCAGATATGTCCCGTATGCAGATAAATAGTGGTATATTTTTACGTCAATGCAGGAAGTAGACGAAAGAAAAGTTGAAGTTATTACGTTTATCATAAAGTTTAGTTGCAAACTGCCATTACTGTCTTCTAGTAAAATATTCAAATATAAACCCAATGTGTCAGATTCATTGGTTTTCCATGGATATATCGATTTAATGAATGAATGTAAATAATATTAATTGATAAAATCTCATGGAAGTTCACAGCAAGAGGCTTTTTGTATTCATGTAGAAGTTTTAGAATGAAATAAATCTTTTGTCATTAGACTACGAAACAAGTCGGTCAATAATTGGACACAATCAGTACATGGGAATTCCAAGTAATTATTGGAAAACCTGGTCTAGGAAGACCACAAGGATGTTGACAATGAAAAATTCAAGCATCTTTTTAATTTCAACTTAGAGTACTTCAGAATATCAGATTGGTTTTCAATAACGTAAATTTATAGAAGACTAATGACAAGATAGGGAAATTTCCATACTTATTAAATTTCCATACTTATTAAAAAAACAGTTGTCTATGATAAAATTCTGACCAATAAGATTGTACGTTTTAAAGAACTTAATATGGCAGAGGAAAGTGTCCAAAAAGACAACTATTTTATGTAAACGTTTGTTTTCCACTTTGTTTAACAGCTATTTAACTTTAGAAATATAACTATATATTAATTACAACACATTATGGATATCCAGATTTGTAAGAGACAAGAACTATATCGTAAGAAAAATGGTGTTAAATTCCTGATTATTTAAGGTAATGGTTATATTGACTTTTGAATTCGGTCTACTCGTGACTATAAGCACTTATTCTTGTATCTGGATAATCTCGGCCCTCAGCCTGGTTCATACAGTCACGAGATGAACTCATCAAAAGTAAATAATTGTTTAAATTTAATCCAACAGTCGATGTATGTATAATATTATGTCCCTTTGAAAATATTACTTTACCTTGTCAGAAAATAATACGAAGTAAATTCTAATAATGATAAATAAAATTAATGTCTTAAAATTATGCAATTTTTTTTTTTCAGGATGAGTATGGTCTGGTCTTTCGATCAGTATATGATCACATACAAAGTTCCACGGAAAATATTTACAGCAATCAGTAAATGGTGGATCCAGAAATGGCGAACTTTTTATAAACTGAGAAATAATAACATTAAGTTGTTGAGGTTATGCGGTTTTCCTTTGTTCAGATTTGAATTTGTTGAGGAGTTTGTGAATGTATTCAATTCACCTAACATGTCACAATCGTAAATAAAAATTGCAGAATTAGATATCGGATTAACACCTTTCTCAGTCTAATGCCTCATTAGAAACCTAATGTGCATTTCAATAGCTTTGAATACTTAGACTGTTCCCTGTCCCGAACATTCAGAAAAATTCTGTATATGTCAGCAACCAGTTCATCAAGAAATATTTTTGATTGTTTATGAGCATCCTTATTAGAAACCAGAGATTATCCTTTTGTAGGATATCATGTAGCATTATTATTTACATCACTAGTATCAACAAACTCTGGCTTTAATGTTAAGTAAAGGAAATCAGGTTGTTTTTACTCCTTATTAAGGATGTATTGAATGTTCTCTTTAGTTTGAACTACATTGATTAAAAATGGTATATACTGTGAAATCATTCATTTTCGTGGAGACCGATTTTCGTTGTTTTCGAGGTATAGAGAGACCCACGAATTCATGCCAGCCACGAAATGTAAGATGTCATATACATAACTACTCAACGATTCTTCATCCACGAACTCAAGTCCCCACGGACCCATAGTTTTTCCTAAAACCACGAAAATTTGACCCCAAGAAAATATCTTATTTTACAGTATACAATGCATTACGTTTTTTTTCATTACTGAAATGATTGTGTACAACAAAATTTATGTCAGAAAATAAAATGATTTTTTTTTTAGCTTTTATTCTGTTATTTTACTTTAAACTTTTTTTTCATTTAAAGAACATGTATGGTCTTATCAGGTCGTGTTTTACAGATCAAGTCTAATTTATGTAGGGAGATCATTCACGTGGTGTTAAAAAGTCATTCAAAATGTTTTTTTTTTTTCTTTTAAGGGTGTCAGTGTATATATCCCTTAGTGTGAAGAAAACACTTGTCTTTTTAAATTGAACAAAAAGGTAGTGAGACTAATGAGAATATATAACGACTCCCTAGACTACATATATTAGGAGTAACACATGTCACGCAGTCCTAACTATATCTGTAACATACATGTATAAGCAAATATAGATATTGCAGAACTAAACAACAAAATCTTTGATATTATTTAAAGGAAACATGAATGAAACAAAGATAATGAACAGTAATCAGGGTCAAAGTCCAGTCAAGGAATATTTATTGTGAGCAGAGAAAACACGGACCTCTGAAAACAACGCTGGAAATCAAGTACCATGGAGGATTGAACATTCCATGACATGATCGGGTATACGGAAAAAATCCGTACCCAGCTATGTTAATGTCGCACGAAGCAAGTAAATAACCTTCAAAACATATCAAAATATCTTCAACTCGGTTTTGAATTCAATATGTGTGTGATATGAATATAAAAAGAAACAGTTTTCACAAAGGGATCGCTCACCTACATACTGACATATTTGTTTTGATATCACATGACCTGATTGATCACGTGACAGTCAATTATATTTTTTCAAGTGTTACACATAAATCGTTTCAGCTGTATCCTAGAGTACCTAAAAAATGCTTAGGACAAGCTGTAGTATTATTAGTATACGAAATAATTCTTTAGAATTTCAACTTACGCACGCATTCGAATAATATCGAAGATCAAATTGACACATAACGTTCTGAATAAGACTAGAAAATGTTTCAAATCTCTCTCTCTCTCTCTCTCTCTCTCTCTCTCTCTCTCTCTCTCTCGTTTCTTTCTTTTTTTTGGGGGGGGGGTACCTGTTTCTTGTAAAGATTATTTTAGAAAAACCGAACCCCTTCAGTCAAAATTGTCATAATTTCGAGCATCATATGAATGAATAGTGATTTGGAAATATGCAACGAGCTCATCATCGATTTTAAAAGGTCATTAAATTTATAATGCACAAAAAATACTAAAGGGTACATATATATTATTTGAATTAATGATCAATTAACATTTTTTTCTATTATTTATGTTGTTGCTTGATAAGTTTTAATTGTCTTTTATACATAGTAATTTCTTTCAGAATGACACTTTAAAGACTATTTTATTTTAATTTTGCGATGGTTTTGTGTGTACTAAATAAATATATCAAGAATCAAATTAAATATTTCCTCTTACTTAAAAAAATCATCGACGTTAATATTCTTTTCTTCGTTTAATGTGTATGGAAGTCTGGGACCTTTTTATACACTGGGGGCATTTCACAAAGCTTTAGAGAGAGAGAGAGACCAGATCTATTTGAAGGGTAAACAAAAACTGCAGTCATTCAGTGCGTTGCATTATCACTTACGGAATTTTAATTCACATGGAGTAAATGAGGGACACGTCCTTGAGACTTACTAATTTCTTCATGATACATACATGATTGAGGCATATCATTAGTAAATACATAAAATGATTCTAGCGTTACTATAAAAAAGGTGCAAACGCGATTCTAGCATTAAAGTTGTTAGATTTATATGATTGATTGACTGATAGATTGTATGTTGTTTTACGTCATGTTCGCGATTTTTTAACTCAAAGAGAGACGTCAGTAAGCTTTGAGATTGGAAATTATGAGAGGACATTGAAACTACAAGCAAACGACTTTAAATTTACATAATTGTGTTTCAAGAACAGGATGCTTGATGACCTAGAAGATATGCATTGAGATTGATGCTTATTTATATTTACAAGTGTTGGTGCAAAGATATGTTTCACGAGTTAAATAAAATATATATCAAGTGCGTCTAAAGGAGTGGTTCATAAAGAGATGATGAATTATTAAAATCCATTAATTAAATATACAAATTTGCATTAAATTGAATTGATTAAACATTTAAAACACTATTATTAAAACAACATCCATTTGGTTCACAAGATATATTCAGCAAATATTACGCTGTCAATGATTCTTTTTTCGAAGACAGCTCGCGTAGAGCAACACTATATTTTTTTTCATAATGATTGATTGATTGTGTGTTGTTTAACACCCAATTCGAGAATGTTTCACTCATATAAAGACGTCATCAGATATCGGTGAAGGGCTTCAAATTTTGACCTTTACTCAGCACTCAGGGCCATTGAGCAGTGAGGGATCTTTATCGTGTCAACGTCTGCCGTGACACAGGGCCTCGGTTTTTAAGGTCTCATCAGAAAAACCGGCAACTTTCACTTCAAAGTGCCGGGTGCATGGCGAAGGAAAAGTTGCTTCCCATTTCTTTTATCGACTTAGGTCAGTCGCGGCCGAGATTCGAACTCACGAACTCCCGATAACGGAGCGAGCGCTCTACCGACTTGTGAGAATGAGGTGAAGCGAAGCGGGTATATGATCTTGACCAAATAAAAAAAAAAAAACGGAATCTAAATTTCCCAATATGCTATTTTAAGAGTATGTAACACAGCAGCAAACGATAGAGAAAAACTATATATTGAAAAAAGAAAATCACAATTAACATTATCTTTTACAATTCTTATACTAGAAAAAAGGAAAAAATCAAAAGTATGCATGCTTAAGATAAAGTGTGTTTAAAATCTATGGGGTAACTTTCTTGAATACCTCTGATTAAAAAATACTTTGAATAATTTATGTTTAAAAGTCAAATAACATTTGCTTGAAAAATTACATTTATGTTAATTTGGTCATTTTTAAATGGCCTATTAAGGAAGAGGGTAAAAGGAGCAAAAAATTGAAAAGGATAAAAATTGTTGTTATATATAATTTACCGTAGAAAATTTTAACTAACCTCTTTATCCCAATAATTATTTGGATTTTTATACGTGTATATTCACACCAATAAAATTTCAATTCATATGAACGACCAAATATGGAGATGATCATATATAAACCCTTTTTTGCATAACCTTTCCTACAGATTCAAGAGTCTGTGAACATATGTTGTCTTTTTTAAAGTTTTTTTTTTTTTCTGTCGATATAAAATTGATTTGATATATGGTTATTACCAACTTCTCATTAGCCTGTTCAGATATTTTGTTTCCCTCTGTGAGACGTGGAGACCGGTCCTTCGGATGAGACCGTAAAAACCTAGGTCCCGTGCCGAAGTAGGTGCTGGCACGAAAAAGATCCCTCACTGCTCAATGGCCTTGAGTGGCGAGTATAGATCAAAATTTCCAGCTCTCCACCAGCAAGCATTGACCTCTCCATATGAGTGAAAAATTCTCGAGAGGGGCATTAAACAATAGACAAACAAACAAACAGATATTTTGTTTATCATGAAGCGTTCTTGTCCAGATGACAACTTTTTTCCTCTGCATGAATAATTTATACATCTATTACTTATCTTTTGTTAGTTTTCTTTAGTTAATTTTATTTTTTCTGTCTTGTTTTGATTTTTTTTTCATTTATAAATTCATTCGTGTAATCTTTTCTTAAAATTTGTACACAACATTATGAAAGTGCTGTAAAAATGACAATGAAACAGTAATCCCGTAGAATTGAAACCCTTTATATTTAAAAAAAAAAAAAGAAGCCTAAATTCAAAGAATGAGAAACATTTAATTCCCATTTAGTGGAGATTGTCTTATTTCCCAGTTCGTCATCAATTACCAATAATTAGACTTATCAAAGGAATGGAAATAACTTCACAGTAAGAGTCAATTCATTATAAGTTTGTTCGCTTTAAACTTATTCTACTGTATTGATATAGAATGTAAATAGCAGTCATGTCTCATTTTCTCTTGACAGGTGATTATATACATTTGATGAATTAAAAGCTTGCAGTATGTGATGTTTATTAGTCCCCTACCGGTGAAACCGGAGGGAACTATAGGTTTTTCAAACTGCAAAATCTACAGGGCATAGTTCGTACACCAAAATTGGTTTCCTTGTTCTACATAAAGGATTCTTTATTTTATCTATGTCCCATTTTTTTTTATATAAAACCTAGGCATTTGGGGTTAGATCAGTGTTTGTCTTTGGTATGTGATGAATCAGCA